TAGACTGAGGTACCCGGGTCGCAGTTCCACACGGCTACCCTAGACGGTCGTGCATGCGAACGGTAGCAGGTCTAGGTTACGAGCGCTTACAGTTTCGCAATTCACGTGACGAACAATGCGTTCACAGATGCCGCGACACAACCGACGAACACATGCCTTGCACACGAAATCAATACGCGGCCAGCGTGGTGCGAATATACGCGGCTTCAGTCTGGCGCGGAAATATTAATTCCGCGCTTAGCAAGCCGGAGCATTCGCGGCTAAGCAAGCCGTGGCTAAGCAAGCCGCGTATATTTTAGCGTGTGAACGCAACTTTTCTCCTCGTGTGAACGCAGCTATATATAATATAAAGGTTATGGGAATGATCCTGCAGGCAGTGCACGAGTATGAGGACTGAGGTACGAGCGCCATGTCGTCTCCATTGAGAGTACGTATTTCCTGTTTGAGTGTGGGCTCACAGTGCGTGGCCTACCTGACTACATGAGCGAGTTACTTATCATGTGCATTTGCTGCAAGACGACCATAAGGCGATTTGTCGATACGAGCGATTTGCCCCCCGGTGGCACATCCTATTAAGAGCATAATGCAGGCAAGTCCGACTAGGAATGTCTGGCATTAAGCAATCTTCATGGGTTTCTATATCTTCTGGATGTAACTAATTTAGGACAGGTACGTACGTGTTAAGCTGTCATTAGCCACACACATGCACGATGATTCGCCTCTAGGCGAGGCGGCACAGAGTAATCCAGCGAGAAGATTCAAAGCCGAAACCGTAACAAAAAATATCAAATAAAATATCAAATAAAATATTATAATAAAATATCGAGATAATAATACGTTTCTAATTATAAACCATTTCCCCGTTCGATTCTCTAATAATCTGTATTTGCACAGGTGCGAGAGAGAAAAACACAAACGTACACGCTAACGCGCAACGCGGTAATGAACTATGATACTTACAGGATGGCACATGAGCAGTGCAAATTAGACAGACTTATAAAGGAGCGACCAAAATAGATTCGCATGCAAAAACGAAAGGGTTAACCGCGAGAAGGGGTTCGCGATGCAAAGAGAGCGCGAGTGAGTGCGAGTAAATCGTTATAGAGCCGTCACACACGCGATACGTGCACCGACGATGCCTACAAGTGGCCGTTACTCTTTGTATAGCCGCTGACGAAAGTGAGAGGCTTAAGTGAGACCGACTCGCGCCTTGTCACACGTCGTCACAGCACCGCGACTGTCGCACGTCGCCTGTCGCGCGTCCGGCGACACACAGGCGAGATTAGAAAGCCGACGGCGTCGCAAAACGAAGCTAATCTGTCGGCCAAGACGCGCCGGTGCTGCATCACGTGACGAAGCCCTCATCCCCATTATACCTGGTGTAACGTGGTCGCTATAAATGCTACCGCGAGCACGGTCTGTGTCTCGCTACGGCATTATCGACTTCCTGTATTATCTGTTTATGCAAAAAATTAAGGCTTCCGATTACGGTATAATCTCATTAGGGCGCAAAGACCCGCATAACCATGACAACCGCGTATTTGTATAAGATCTTAGCCTACATTATTGCATAGCTGGCATCGCTCCAGAAATTCCGGAAAGCAGAAGTTATGACCCGAATATCCTAATAGTTCTCCCAATCGTCGGTCGCTTTACGCATATTAACGCACTCCATTCATATATAATTATATATATATACATATATATATATATATACGTGGGTGCGGTGTGTGTGTGTGTGTGTGTGTGTGTGTGTGTGTGTGTGTGTGTGTGTGTGTTGTGTGTGTGTGTGTGTGTGTGTGTGTGTGTGTGTGTGTGTGTGTGTGTGTGTGTGTGTGTGTGTGTGTGTGTGTGTGTGTGTGTGTGTGTGTGTGTGTG